GGAAAGGCATTTTCCTCCCCTGAGATGATGTGCATGGTCACATGTCCTAGTCACATATCTAGTCACGTGTGCCATATTTTCAGGAAGTAAAATGAGAGCTAGTAATCTGCCCTTAGTAAACATGGCCACTGTGAGAAGCCTGGGGAAGAAAGTAGTGGCCACACCCCTCATCAAAAGTGTCTTTATGGACACTTGTACTGTGGAGTAAGAGAGGGGTGTATCTGACCAGGTCAATAGAGTGCAGTGGATCGCAAGGTCAAACTTTGGTGCCTACTAATCTGTGCAGTCATATTTAGACACTCTGTGCAAAGTAAACCGGAAAGCAAAGGTCTAATAAAAATCTTTATCTGACTGAAAGCTTTAAACCACCAGACATTTTCTTGTATCTCTTGGGGGGCTTTATAGGTGAGATCTCTGCACTTGGGTTCCCTGGTCTGCATACCTCCTGTAGCCATTGTGAGGGGTTCCCATTCTTCCTGCTGCACATTTATTTTATATATCATGGAGAATGGGCCAGGCAGGGCTGAAACACCTGAAGGTGGTGGGAGCACCCTAAACTCCCAAGTGATCAGGAACAGAGTCAGGAATTATGGCAGAGAGATCTCACTAGTGGAGTATCCAGCCAGGGACTAACTTAACCCATCAGGCTACGTCTACGACTAAAATATCACTTTTGGTTGGGCTGACTTTTTTTTTTAATTCTACGAGTCATCTACTGGAGCCAAAGGAGATCATAACATGGCCAGATAAACTGGAAATTGCATTAGTATAATCACATTAAATATTTATGCCCCACACTCCAACACAACTCAGCATAGAGTGGAATCGATCAATGTAATATGCAATTTATAATAATGGATGTTAGCCATTAGGCTCAATTCACAAAGCTTTAATACCAGGCACGTGACTGTAACTCTCACACTGACGCAATTGAAAATAAAGATACTTCTTGTCAGTAGGGTTGGTGAACTGACGTCATTGCCTCCACATGTATTGACCTCCATACATACAGCCTGCAATCTTGCACAGATATGGTAACTGAACTCCGCATTGAATTCCCATGTTCTTCTAATTTATAGAACGGGATATCCTTTTGAATACCTCTATAGAGTATATGGAAGCTCTAGCTGAACTCTAATCATAGTGCTAATTGCTGCTCTGTATGGCGCTTCTGTCTCTCTATATCAGTGGTTCTCAACCTTTCTAGGGCCGGGACCCCTTGGTAACATTTGCCAAGTTGTGGTGACCCCAAACGCTAAAATGTAGGGTTCACGCGGCTGCTGCAGCGACATCTGGTGGCGTGGCGGGAGAACTGACACTGCTGCGCTAGGAGAAGGCTGAGGAGGACTGTCACCGAGCACAGCAGAAATCACACAGCGACCCACAGGTTGAGAACCACTGTTGTAACAGCTAAAATGGCAAACCATATAACACAAGCCGAGGGTGTCAGCTTTTATTAATAATAATAATGATGATAATCTAATAGCTATCTAATAGTGGGAGACTCCCGGCGACCCCTGGCAAATTGTCATTTGACCCCCGAAGGGGTCCCGACCCACAGGTTGAGAACCGCTGCTCTATATACTATGTCTTCTGCACCCTGTATTCTCCACTCCTTCCTGATCTTTATCAGGTGTGGAAGGCTGTGAGATAAAACATGCAGTAATGAGTTCTACATATATCTCTGGCCATAATGTTAATCCTCTGCAATTCTATGAAGGTGTTTTATATTACACCAATGCAGTTCTTTTAATACAATGCAGCTCACGGTTATAAATAGTCATTGTTGCTTCTCTTGTGATTTTTTTTTTTATATAAGTGCACACTCTAAACATCTGATTTGCATTACTCACAGTTTAAATGCCGACTTCCTCCTTTGTGTGTGTTAAAGGATTAAGCGAAATCAATATAGTGAAGCATTACTCATCATTTTTACAAACCGTACTAACGTAATAACAAAGAGCCACAAATAGGAATAAGACCTTTTAAATAAAAATTGTGCAATTCTTCCACAAAAGAAGTCATTGGGAAAGTAAGATGTACTTTTTCCAATACATAGAGCCGGTATGTGATACTGCAGCTGTCACATGCTGGCTCTATAGGTCGAGAGCTGGTCACAAACCGCTGATCACTCAGCTCACGGTCCTCTCCATGCAGAGAACAATGACTATCAGTACTATTTCCCACAAGGATTCCCCCCTCCCCTCTCTCTATTCCTCCAGTGCTTGGAGGGACGGATAGGGGAGGGGGCGGACACAGTTGGCTGTGGCTCTAGAGAGGCAGAGCCAACTGTCAATCAATCAATGGGGTGGATGCCGATTTATTTTTGCTATTTCCCGGCAGCAATGCGGCTCTACGCTGTCGGCAAATAGCACAACATATGCTGACTTTGGGTCACAGGAGAACATTAGTAAATGTCCTCTTGTGACCCAAAAGAGGACTAAACAAAAAGTTTAGCCATGGCTCTTGTAATGGGTTCTATATTAAATTCTTATGCTGTTCAAATTACTCTGTGCTTGAAGAATGAGTGCACTTTTAGCACGTCTTAGCTGTGTAATCCAGGAACGTTAATCATGTAAGTTACCAACCATATCCCTTTTGCCTTCATTCATTGCTCCTGATGGAGTTCGGCTGGTGTCCTCAGTGGTTCCGCCAGTTCTAATTTCCTGTGCGGACAATGTTTAATGTTTTCATATATTTAAATTTGTCACCCCTGCACATCCAGAGATTTTCATACATCTATTTCAGGCAGATCATTAACTACAGTGTTCAAGTTGAGGCGACCACGCAGCGTGCAAACAATGGCTAAACTAAAACCTGGGAATACACAGTTAGAATTTTTTTGAACATTTGTTCGATTTTCTAATGGTTAATGGTGTCAATTCAACAAACAAATAAGACTGTAGTGACGAAAAACCCAAAGGAGCAGGATGGAAACAGTAAATATGGTTTCATTCGAGAATCTTCAATTATTATTCCAAAATCAAATGTTCAAATCAATATTTTGAATGACGTTCGTCAAGTCACTGATGGCATTATCGAAAGTTCTGACATGATTTTTCATATGAAAGCTCACATTGAAATCTACCAATATATACCCAGCTAATGCCTCTGACAGACAGTAAGAAGCATTGGAGGTAAAACTGTACTTTTAAGTGACCATCCCATTCACCACCACCCTCCTGAACAAAAATGTAACCTCAACCTTGGGTTCTGACTATATCTGGTTCTCACTGCTGTGGCCTTCTCGCCATGGGGTACCGTTGCTGGCCTTTAGATAAAGCTCCACTGGGCCTGTGTGATGACCCAATGAAAAAAGTCAATTGAATACCCATCTTCTTAAAGGACAGGTTCTCACTGCGATGGCCTACTCACCATGGACATCATTCATAGCCTTTAGCTGGAGCTCCACTGCATCTATGTGAAGACACCATCAAAGAAGTCAATTTAATACCCATCTTCTTGATTGACACAATTTCTCACTGCTGTGGCCTACTCGCCATGGGGCATTGTTGGTAGCCTTTTGTTGTAGCTCCACTGCGCCTATGTGAAGACTCAACCAGTGAAGTCAGTTTGAATACCCATCTTCTTGAAGGACATGAGTTCTCCCCTCTATTGCCTTCTCGCCATGGGGCACTGTTGGTAACTTTTACCTGGAGTTCCAGTGTGAAGACACCAGCAGAGAAACCAATTCAATACCCATCTCCTTGAAGGACACCGGTATTCCATTTACTTCCATGACGGCATCTTAATTCAGGCACAGTAGAGCACCGGTGACTGCAAGAAACACACTGATCGCAGGCTGTGCTTAATATTTTGTTCAGGGGCCAGGGGGTGTGTTCAAAGCAGGACAGAAAGTGAGGAGAGATTTTTCTAACGTGTAGCAGTAAAAACCGGACGGGTTCTAGCTTGTCCCCTTTTTATCCAAAATTTAAATAAAACCTCTTGGCTTAACATGAACTTCACTGCAGAACTCTTTAGGACTCAATATGTGTTCTTGGGGTAAATCTGCCATACAGCAAAGGAGATCAAATCTTTTTCTCTGTGTAATTGTATTTTTGCTGATCCAGTCAGTAATAATCTGGGGCCCCTTTGACACCGTGATCTCAGGAAGCCTTTTGGGAAACATTGGGCTATAGGAGTTTTGTAAGGAGAAGTGAAACCAGACTGACCCCTCTTCTTGTTAGCCCTTCCGACATAATTATAGAGCAATTCTTTGCGTCACCCTTTGCATAGATTTTGAAACACTTGCTGTCTGGGGCTGATTGAGGGCTCATGTAGACAAGCATTATTGTCAAATTTTGCCTTTTGCACACATATTACAAAGATGTCATGTGACCTGTCATCAGTCCATTGAGGGGTTAGGGTCAAGTGGATTGCAAGTGCTTACATGCACAAGTTTTAAACTCGCAATTCAGCAAAAGACTGATTTTGGCTTTGACCTGCTTTGCCTAAATTGCTAGCACATCTCAAGGAGACTTGCTGCGCCCCAAAGAAATGCAAAGCAGGTCAAATGGGAATTTGTTCACCTGCGGTGGATGAGCATTACAGCACCTGTCTACATGGAAGTCTTTTGGTATTTCTTCCTCACTGCTAATTTATACTCTGAAACTTTAAAAGCTCAGTAATTTATTATCAAACAGGACCTGTCGTTGACGAAACACGAAGGCTGTCGTTTCTGAACTCTTTCTGAAAATTCCAAGTGACTGGCTATTATAGTTGCCTTCTGGCCTCGGCAGCTTGAGTCACTGACCTGATAAAGCGGCTGCATCACAGGGGTCCTAAGCTGAACATAAATTCAGGCAGCAGGGGCCAAGTGTTCTCAACTTCTCTCCTGGATATGGAAAAACTGTTTTATATTTGGACCCTTTCCCCGTCTCTGGCTGGGGCCATGCTTTGTACAGCAATGTGGAAGGTGTTGGTACTATATAAAACTTTAGTGATACATGCTTTTTCAATCTTTAATGGTCTTTATCTTAATTTTCTTTCTTTTTATTTAGGAAATTGCCAAAAGGCTTCAGCAGCTGGAAGAGGAAGAGCTGCAGCAGAAGGCTCAAGACAGTTTAGGAGGTAAGAATGATGTATTACTGACACCCGAAGGGGCTGCAAGGCAGACTCATAGCAAAACTACATACCACCTGCTCAGATATGATTCAGCCGTGACGTACGATGCAGCTTGTTGGGGGAGTACTGCTTTGACTCAATGGGATTTTTCACAATTTTGCAATAACATTAGGGAGGGTTCGCTGCAAGATCTGATGTTCTTTTAGAACATACTGTTATAGATAAAGAAGAGCAGGACATGACAGAGTAAATACAATTTTACATGTGTGATTTTATCTAGCAGGTAATGTCTGGAATATAGCCAAGGATGGACAGGAAGTAAAAATCAACTGTGGCAGAAACTAGTTTTACTTTATTGGCTTTTATGGATTATTTTACAACTTGTCAGAGTATTTTGAATCTGACATAAACACAGAATGTACATAGGCTGATCCTAGATTAGGACAGTGTGGTTTCCTGGGTGATGCATATATCTGAGACAGAATCGTCTTCTGCAGCCTACCCATAAAGGAGAACTATGAGGTAAATGTTTTCCCCATAGTTCTCCTAAGGGTCACGGGAGGACATATACTAGCGACCTCCCGTGACCCAAAGCTCAGTATATCGCGAGCTACAACTCGCGGTATGCTGAGACCGCCGCAGCCAGGACGTATTCCGACATTACTGTCGAGATCCACCCAGCTGCGGGATTGACAGTTGGCTCTGCCTATCTTGAGGCAGAGCCAGCTGTACCCTCCCCGTCCGTTCCGCCAGTCAGCTCTGGAGGATCGGACAGGGGAGGGGGGAATCCCTGCAGAGAGCCGTGAGTGACAGTCACAACTCTCTGCAGGGACGTGATCGAGAAGTGAGCGAGCGACGGTATGTGTTCGCTCACTTCCCGATCTATTGAGCCAACCTGTGACAGTCTCATTGTTACAGGTCGGCTAGAACTATGAGGCTGAGTGATTTTCACTCGCCTCATAGTTCTCCTTTTAAGGTTGTGTATCAACAGGGACAATTGTTGCCATTAGAGCAGCAGGGACAGAGATGGATATTTCCCAAACCTACCTGTGTGTAGGGTGCTGGTGTTTACAAATTGTTCTTAGGATAGTGATAGCATGGAACCCAGAGCACTTTGCATTGACAGACTCTATGGTTCTCTCAGGCAAGGATTTATTTTAAGATGGCAGCCTTTTGAAGCTTAACAAGATAATGAGGAAACATACTTCTGCTAGCAAGTTATAACACCTCGTTCACCCACAGTCTAGAAGAAGATTGCCTTTTGACCGTAGAAACTAGAGATTCTATATTTTTTGACCTGATCGTTTTTATAGATACATCTTCCAAGCTCTAATGCCTCTCCCCCCCCCCCCCCCCCCGCTTTTTTTGCCCTTTATTTTCTCTTCTAAAAA